AAAAGTTTTAAATATAGCGGCGCTATACTCTGGAATCAACTCCCAAACGAAGCAAAATTGGCCGAGTCGCCTCATTCGTTTAAATCAATTGTTGGACAGCGACATGCTTCCTAATTATTTGTATATAGTAACGTGTACAGTATGTGTGTACTAATATTTAGTTTAAATTTTCCTTTTAACGATTTTTATGATCTAAACACGCCCCCCATGGAAACCAGCCTAGAGTTGATGGGGCTAGCGTGTTCTTCTTTCTGTTAATTTTAGATAAAGTATTACCTACCTACCTACCTACCTACCTACCTAAATATCATCACAATGGGATCCCGTGAAGTAGTTTTATTATGATCTCGACCATAGTATGCGTTGGTTTTGCATGAGATGACCCCATAAGATGACACTGAGGACAATTGGGAAAAAAAACAAACTCCAAAACAACAATGTCGAGTTTTTTCCATTCCTCAGGCCAAGGCCCATAAAACCAAAAGTTGAGAAATATAGCGCCAAAGCCATGACCCGCAGCGGCATTAGTATACAAATTCAATCGTCAGAACGAAAAAACGACCGGCCATCGAAATCATCCAGAAAGGATTTCCTAAATCTGCTTTAAAGGCCCAATTCCACGACGAGCGAAACGCGAAAAACCCCGCGCGAAAAGGTTGAACGCATGCGCAACATGATTTTGGAATGTTTCTCTGAGAAATATTTCTCTTCGCCGGGTAGTTGAAGTCGTTTCTACTCCGTTGCGAAATAGAAATAGCGAAACCAATCTTTTTCTCCAAGTGTGGAAATCGCTACGAGAGAAAATTTTCGCACAAGTGTTTTCGCTCGAAATTTTCCGCACCCCGCCCGCCGCGGAATCAGACCTGAACGGACCTTGTTAGACGAATACGATAAAAAGGGGGGGGGGCATTAACACCTTTCGTTAAATCAATGAGACGCCGCAGAAAAGCCCGACCCGGTGGTACGACAATGCAAGCGAAATTAAGCAGACCAATCAAAGATTGAACCTCTTTAAGGTTGCCTTTCGACGGCAAAGAAATTCGGAAAGAATAGTGCGCGTTTTCAATATTTGTGGAATGTTACACCGAGTTTTAGCAACCCACTCAAAAGCAGTGCGGCAGGAAGATGCACACCCCATGGGCATGGCTCTATCATAATAATACTTTCCCTGCCACATGATACCTAACAGAGGGTAATCTGCTGGACGAATGGGTATAATGCGAAAAGCACCCTTTATGACCGTTTTAGCTAAAAAACAGCCTCTCCCTATTTTTTTTTTTTTTTTTTTAATTTTTATAATGGCAATTGCATCATCCACACGACTATAAGAAACAGTAGTGTGTTCAGGCGAAATGCCGTCATTGATGGACACCCCTTGTGAAAAAGATAAGTGGTGAATAAGCCGAAACTCGCCTGGAATTTTCTTAGGCACAAGCCCCAAAGGAGAAACACGGAAATTGAAAAAAGGGGGGGGGGGAAGGGGGTTACAATGCGACCCGCCACAATTTCTTTCGCAAGTTTAGTACCTACAACTCCAGGGTTTTGATTTGAACAAAAAGAGGGGTGACCACCCTCAAAGTGAAGAGGAACCCATAGGTAAAACCCTCAAAACAATTAAAAACAAAAAACATTAAAACAATTTGGACCACATATCCTTGTAACAGAGGCAAAAAGGCCATCAATTTTTTATTGGGGTTGGAAGTGCGCACACCTGCTGCTGGTTTTGTAATGGTGGTTCTTCCTGAGTGACGAAAATTACAGCTTTTAGCAGAGTGCGCAGCTCCACACTTAAAACAGGTATGCTTGTAAGAACAGCCTGTGCAATTAACCCCCTTATGGAATGCACAGCAGAAACCAATTGGGACAAATGGGCCCAACAGCGAGGTACGCCCAGAAGGCTGTGCAATACTTGACCGAGCTGGAGCAATATGCGCAAAACTCTGTGCACGAACCCACAACTCAAAATGAGTTGCGCCCCAAGGGATTTCATGTGCTCTTGTTTGTTGTAGCGATCGAAACTGAGTGTCATAAAATCTCCAATTTGCTCCTCGTGCAGCCAAGTCTCGCACAACGTCCACATATTTCATTAATTTGGGAGCTTCTTGAGAAAATTTTCTGTTGTAAACCCCACCCAACAAAAATCTGGAAGGCTGATGTCCATGCATCAATGCTGTATATGGGTTTAATCTTAGAGGATGGCTCTAATGAAAGTGTTGGCACCAAACTCTCACTCTGTGCCAGTGAAAGCTGATATCTTGTTTGGCCCACATAAGGGTTCAATAATGAACCAAACTCAATAAACTCATTCACCCAAATTTTAGCCTTTATTTTGGGACTGACCAGAACATCAATCTGGATGGTAATAGAATTAAACTGAATATGGGAGCCAGATGATGGTGGACGCACAACCTCCAGATTAACATGCTCAGCTGTGAGGTGCTCTAAGGCTGATGCCACTGGCCCCTGCACTTGGGCACCAGTCTCAGAGCGACCATTAAGGGGCACCTCCCTGGTGTCAACAACCGCAGGAGTTGGTGACTGTATGGCCGCAACAACTGCCTGGGCAACCACAGATGCAATCCTTGTTACGGTATAGTCTAAAAGAAACTAGAACAAGCATCTGCAAACAACATATATATTCAAACACACACATCTAGGAGTAAGTACTGTAGTAATGTATCGGGAAATGACATGTAAACACAAGTGACAATAACAAATAATCTAATCATTAATGGACAACACAGGTTTTATTATAGCCGAACACACAACTGGGCAAAGGCACTTAACAACATGATGGCAACCCACTGTATATTGAATCCAGCTATAGGCACCTGGAATAACAATCCTGTCCCATGTAGGCATACATTTAGCAGAAAAGCAACAGTGGCCAAAATTTATGCTAACAAGCACATAGATTCAAAGACAGAACATGGCTGTAAAACCAATACAGAAATAACACAACATATAAATACCATAAAACAAACAACATCAACAAACTGGGCAGATTTACCATCTATGCCAAGCCACTTGTTTCATGAATGGCTACCTCCCAGCTGAATATAATTGCTGAATGCTCAACACGGGTCACAACAGCCATAACCATGTGTGCACACCCAAATATTCATAGATCCCTTGGGCCCAGGGTGATAAACCTGCCATCAAGGAAGGCTATCCAAAGATGGCAACAAACTTTATTGAACAAATCATCATACAACAATCAATATGTATAGTACAACAAGTACACATATGGCCATAAAATCATGAAACATAATATTTCTAAGTATTGGCCAAAATTTAATACCAAAATTAGGAAAACAATGCAAAAAACTTGTAGTTGGGAAAAGCTGGTAAATTCCTGTGCATGACAATTAACGTAAAAGCGAGAGAGCCTTCAAGATCGCCCCTCGATAGCTTTTATATAAGCTAAACTGTCCGTGGGGGTTAGCGTGCAACCCATCTAAGGACATCAAATTATTGCCAGCTTTACAAAATGCACGATGTTCCCACAAGAAAACACAAGGATTATTGTCCAGTACCACAGATAAATACTGTCTCAAAAGTGCCGCCTTAGTGTTGTGAATGCGGTAAATAACGGTCAATCACCTGACACACAGCGACACAACGCTAACATGCAAATTATCCCGTAACAGTGCAACTACGCCTTCGTGTCCGAATGTTTACTCGCAAACGGCGAACAAACGAATGGCCAAAAACTAAAATCTGTGGTATTGAACCATTCATATTGAAATATACTATAAACAAGCGGCACGATACCTTTATGCAGAAAGGAAAACTTGTGAGGAGGACTTGAGGACTTGCCTTGTGAAGCCAAAGGTGAATGACCTTGAGCTGTTAACCCTCAACGTTTTATATAGTAGGCCCAAGATGCACGTGAAGCGTGACATGGAAATTCACTGATGTGTTGCAAAATTCCACGGGAAATAAAACTGGTTGAACGAGTTTCCCTGCCAGGTTCCCTTCATAACCCCATTCCGCGTGCTACCCCGAATCCCTAAATATCCCAACAAAATTCCCACGGAAGCAATAAATTGATTATTCGCTGAAGCAAATAACTCCTTTATCTTACGGTGGCCCGTTAGGGACACAGTTCTTCCATAGAAAATGACACTCGTTCTGTACAAATGAAGTGGTATTCCTTAGAAATTAAACTCTTCTGTATAATTTTGATCATCTTCCGTAGAAATATACACCTTTTCCGTGGAAATATGCACCTCTTCCGTAGAAATATGCACCTCTTCCGTAGAAATATGCACCTCTTCCGTAGAAATATACACCTCTTCCGTAGAAATATGCACCTCTTCCGTAGAAATATGCACCTCTTCCGTAGAAATATGCACCTCTTCCGTAGAAATATGCACTTCTTCCGTAGAAATCAAAACGCTTCACAACGCTTCCGCTGGTCATGAAGACAAAGCTAAAGCACGTGTAAAGCTTCCAAGAATGGCGACCATTTATATTATTTTATTTATATATTTAGTCGTTGATTGTAAAGCCTGATTTGAATATGTAAATTAGTCATTACCATGGGATTTTGTCGTAACTGCGGCACAAAAATATTGGAGAGCGGAAAATATTGCCACAACTGTGGAACGCAACAAGGTTTGTAAACTTATTTAATATTTTTATATTTGCAAATGTATACTGCAGATATGGCAATATAAAATTTCTACGTGTTTTCATAAAAGTGGGACCATTTAAGCGACAGAGAGCAATGCACCTATCAATGTTAAGCCCCAGAGGGGTGGGGTCGGGCATAGGTGGGGCATTTGATTTTTTTAGCAAATTTATAAATACTATATTAATAAAAGTCATTCGGTTCAAATTGCCCCAACTCGGGGCCAAAATGCTAATCAAAATCCCCAGGGTGGGGATGTAATTGATGATCAAATACCCCACATATGCCCGACCCCCCCCCCATCCTCTGGGGGTTAACATTGATAGGTGCATAACTATTCGTATTAGATATAAAATACAACGAATACTAGAATAAAACCTCTCACGGAAAGTACTATGGAGGTTAAGCGACTGCTTAAATAGAGGGCAATATCAAGGCACATACTAGCCCCTAAATTGCCCCCCCCCCCCTATTGAGGGTATTAATTTTTTGGTTCCCCTCCTTTGGAATTTCCACAGGTCTTTAGTGAACTTTTTGGGGGGCCGATTACATGGAGAACTTTCAACTTTGGAGTTGAACTCAGCCCTGTTAACCGGGTTGATTTTTTTTTGCGATTGCATGGACAATTTCAACCCTGTGGTTGAAATGCTATACTATACGTTCTCGGCATCGATTCCCGGAAGTAAAAAAGCCTTTATTTTGTTTTCTTGTAATAAATAGTTAGTACCTATCAATGTTATGCCCCTAGGGGGGAGGCCGAACGTACCCTGGGGATTTGCATGAAATTTCTTGCCCCAAGTAGGGATATTTCCCATTCTTCGGAGCCCGAGGGTTGGGACATTTGACAAATCTTAGAACACGCGTTTAAGTGGCATGACTACCGCTTATAAGTAATTCCTTGAATGCAGTTGGGCAAACGAGTGTAAATCACTCAAATCAGTTCCCGTAGAGTTTACAGTTGTAAAAGGAATGATTATAACAGAATTTTTGAAACTTTTGAAGGAGAAAAACTTGAATAATGTTGTTGAAACATTCATTGGTCGTAAATAAAATTGAACAGTCCTAAATCATTCAACAGTCCTAAATAAAATAATCCTTTTAAAATTAAACAATGTTGCTACTCTATTCTCAACAGATTTTGTTTATAAGTTGTTCTATTTTATACTGTGGGGATTTGACAAGTCGTTATGTCCCCATGGTGGGGAATATTTCAATATTCGCCTGTATTTTGTTGCCTCATATTGGGGCATTAGCTCAAAATTTCCTTTAAAAAGTCTAATCCCCACCTATATCTCGGCCTGGCCCCTTGGTGGCTTGACAATGATAGGTGCATAACCCATGATAATTTTCGTATTACACACAGGGCTGAAATTTCAACCCACTAAACAGGGCTGAGTTCAACCTCGGGGTTGAAATGCTCCATGTAATTGGCCCCTCAGCCTCCCTTTTGGAATTTACACAGATTTTTAATGATTTTTTAGCCTCCCCTGTGGAATTTCCACAACGTTTTATTAACTTCTATACCACAGTGGAATGTCCTTATTTATTTCTCGAATAATAATAGTAACTATCCCTTGGAACATTCCTTGCTGATTTTTAGCCTACAGTATTCTCTGGAATTTCTTTTCCATTGCATGGAAATTCTATAAGTTTTAATCACTTTTTATACCTACCCTGCAGAATTTACACAGATTTGTCTTAAAAAGTGGATCCTCCCATTGTTCGGCTATTAAACAATTTTTTGTGGCAATTGGCAAATTGCTGTCAATAATGCAGCCACAAATGAAATTATGAATAGATTACCAAACTCTTATAAATTTACTTTAAGTTGTATAAAAGGAATCTACCAAAGACATTATTTAACAACAAGTGAATGTTCTTCCATTCAACATATCAATATTCAAATAATAGTAAAGTATCAACAGCAATTTTTTGTCCACAATAATTTCTTGTTTATGATGTACTGGTAGGGTATGCTTGGGTCTTGTTGATAAAATTTTAGCCAAGTAAATTATCCAGGAATTTACTCCTTAGAATATAATTTTTATCCTTAGAACCACCAGACTATTGGGCAAGTACAACCAATGCTGCTGCAACACCATCTAGAAACAATGCTGCTACAGAACCAACATCCTTTCAGGAATACCGCAAAAGAAAGGAAGCAGATCGAACCTCCAGGTTCAATAATACAAAAAAGGAGGTACTGCATGTGCAAAGAAGTAAAAAATTCATGTTCAAGAAGCAAAAGTTCAAGTTGGGCTGGTTTGTGGAAGTGATGGGGATGGTATATTAAAGAGAGTTAAAGGCAGAACAATTCCTGTTCTATGTGATGAAAACAATGATGCTGACACTTTACTTTATAAATCAATAGAAAAACATGCAAGACACCACAAACAGTTCAATAAAGATGATGAATATGTAATCCTGTATCAAGACATGACACTAGTTAAAGATTTGCCAGGTTGTAGTGCTCCATTTACTTTGGGGAAATACAAACGTGACTTACTAAAAACCTTATTCAAAAATTTATTTCTGGTTGTGCTCTCCAGAAGATTTTGGAAATTCCACCTTTGATGATGCAGATAGAGAAATGAAGATGATGCTCAGTTGATGTGTTCAGCATTCAGTCCTTCTGATGAGAAATCCAGCCCCCACTCTGTGCCAACTGAGAACGTATCAATAGAATCTCATAATACACCATCATCACCACATTCCCCCTTGCCATCTGGTAGTGGTGCAATGGGAAAATATTTAGTTTCTCACCAATGCCCTACATGTTACAAGTATTGTTCTCGTGAACAAATTGAAATTCATGCCGATATTTGTGCAGAAAGCTGGATGACACTATTGGTGAATGCGCAGTTGTAATAAATCTTGATGATGAACAACGTTAACAGGACCTTGAGAATCAGGAAATTTCTGCAGTTGATCAGATGGACTTTCCTGAAAGACTGGAAGCTATAAAGGGAGTTCTCGAGACACTAAATGCCAATGTCAAGAACACATCTGTGAATAGAATTGCCATTCGCAGAAGATTTTTATTCACAGACTACATGGAAGCAAGGCTTAAAAAGTACTTTAAACCACAAGGCTTGCTGAAAGTGTCATTTACTGGTGAGCCAGCTATAGATGGTGGTGGACCACGACGAGAGTTTTCACAGGTAATACGGCAGCACAATATTATAAACAACATTATTTCGAGACATTTTGTCACCTTTTGTCACATAGTGAAATGACAGTTGTGAAATTCAGACTAATAAGTAAACACAAATTTTTTGTACAGTATACATGTACATACTCTATTCGTGTTAACTTTTATATTTCTCATATCCAATACAAGTGTCTCTAGTTCTGTAATGTAGAGCACTTATAACTGACGGTCTTTTAAGAAAATACAAAATATCAGTAACTCCGAATAACATTTTGATTTTTGATTAAAAATTAAAATGTTATTCGGAGTTATTATGTATTTTCTTAAAATACTGAGTGGTTTCCGTAATTATTATAACGGTCTGTGAACGTATGTTTTGTGTAAATTTTTACATGGCCAAGGGAGCATCTAAGTTGGCAGACTGGTACGTACTATAACTTAATAGCTCATTTTTAATTACATGTGCCTTTAAGTAGTGTTTTACAATACAGTACTACAGTATCTGCGTATTTTATAAGAAAGCTACTGTATATATCTTGTTCGGTGAATTTAACAAGTCACATATTATTAGCACTGATGAAGATCCGGGCTTCCGGATCGAAAGCTTTGCAGTAATAAAATTACGTGGTGTTTCCACAAACAATAGTACTATATTATTCCGAAAGAACTACAAAGAACTTAAAGCTATATCTCTTTACAGTTATAAAAATATAGCTCTTAATTAACCAATCAGAGGACAGAGACACAGAGTTTCAAAACGTTATTTTATAGCTGGGTTTCAGTTGTGTGATATGTTTAGCACTTGGTGGTCAACTCCGAATGGAAACACATTTATCGGATCGAGTGTTCTTTATCTTGTGTTTGGTATCAACTGCTTGTACTGTATATGCAATTTAACGAAATCTACTTGCCTACACAAGGCATAAAGCGGCAATATATGTGAAGTTGACCGCCAAGCGTCCCGCCCATCTAGAAGGCTTGAGTGAAACCCACCTATACTGTAAACAGTAAAATTAGGCTCATATATATTGGACAAAAAATGAGTTGGCACTTCATTAAGACACAATTCGCCTAATATAAATGGCCCTAATAAAGTGCCTTTTCATTCACAGAGGTTTTAAATCACATAAAGTTGAGGCTGTTTAATGACCAAGGATTACCAATTGTGAATATGCAAGCAATGGCAAATGAGGAATTTAAAGTCGCTGGTGAACTTATTGCTTCATCAATTGCGGTAGAAGGGCCAGCTCCCTGTCTGTTTTCGTCCAGTGTATACAGCTACATTGTAAGAGGAATTGGAAGTGTCCAGGCCCACAACTGGACAAGGCATCTACAGGATGACAAAATCAAGATGGCAATCGAGAAGGTATTTTATTAATTTCGAAATTTGTACCGGATAGTACTACAGGTCATTAGCCTATACATTTGCTACTGCCTCATTACTTTGTCTTTTAAGGGGAGCCATGGTTTGACCTACCCTTCCATTCTTAATCACTATCCATTTAATATGAATAGTCTCAACAAATATAATTTTCACTTAGTGCCTGTAGACGGTTACAGTACTTTCTTTGTAACTTCATTGCAATAGCCATAGGTTACGATCGATAGTGGCAATGTGGCGGAGGAAATGTGCGGACAAACACTGAATTACGTCCGAACATTTCCCTGTATATTTAGAGAATTTCGTCCCTTTTTCAGAACAAAGTTGTTTATCTGAGGTGGTAGTATGTTGAATTCATAGTAAAGATAATTTTTAGGTGTATAACAAAGTTTATGGTGTGAATGAATCCTCCCGAAATCCATCCTTTGTCAGGGCGTTCTTGTTTAGTTCCTCGAGTCTGGTTGCTCTTGCTGATTTAATGAGTTTATTGAAGCAATTCAAAAAATAGCTGTAAGTACAGTAAATGATCGGTTATTTATTATGTCTTATAATTATGACCTTAAATAGATGAAAGCGTGCACAAGCGACAGTCAGTTGCAGAGTTTACTTAATGAAGAGTCAGAAGATGGTAGAAACAACAACAAAAACTATTTTTTGTTAAAAATGCCAATTGAGTAAAAAGGAATTGGTTTTTGTTAATGCAAACAATCTCGTACAACATCTCTTTACACCTGCATGTGTATTGACGTTTCTAGTTATTTTCTAACCCACCCGGTAAATTAAAAGTACATCTGGAGGAAACCAGAGTGCCTATAAAATCGTACGACTTTCAGATATTCAATAATTCTTTTCACATATTAAGAGCGAGCAGAGAAAAATCAATAACCACGTTATCTCAGCAGGAGAGCAAGAAGCGTCAAAGTATGGGGGGAGCACCGCCTTCAAGGGGGCACTTTTCGATAATGAAAATGGCACCACAAGTTATTTTCCGAACAGCGTTTTTTACGAAGACAAAGAGCACTTTTTGTGTCTTCTGAAAACTTGGAGGGCCTAGGCCTCCTTCAACCCAGGACCATTTTACCTCCCCCTTGGCCCCTCCCGGTTTCTACGCCCCTGTATCTCAGAGTTAAAATTTGGACGCTCTTGTCTCTAATCTGTGAACCAGTTATCAGTTGAACGAGGCTTTATAGTTGATACTTATAGCGTACAGTATTTGTTGTGTAGGCCTCTGGTGATTACAGGTGTAAGTAAAACGTTGGCTATTGTTGACCAATTAATCTCAGGCCTGGAGTCGTATGGAGTACTGACAGCGATACGTAGCCACAGGGAACTCATGGAACCATTGTTAACTCTGGAAGGCGCAGCACATTTTTCGATCACCCCTGATCTGATGCTTGACCACTTGTTAGTAGATTGCAGCCCTGATGGAAGCAACAAAAGACACCAGAACTTGATGTGCACAAGTTCTTTTGTGACTACGTCCAAGAGATTGCTGCCAGAAAAGGTACCGTCGTAGGTTGTTTTTCTCAGTTTTTCACCCTATACAGTACAGACACGGTCATCATGTTGGCCAGTCCAACAACATTTTACTAAGATATTTTGGAAAAACTCCTTTTATACGACTTATAATTTTTCCCTGTTGTAACTTTCTTTTACTGCCTATGTTTAATTTGTTTTAGATTAATCTTCCCAAACTCAGTTCTGTATATTTTTATTTTGATTAATTCAATATCCTAAAAGAAACTTTTATCCGTGCCGTACCAAAAATTGAGCGTAATGTAAACGGGGCTTTAGTTGATATCGTATTTTGTATATAGCTTAAAATATTATATATTTTGTACTTCCTTTTCTTGCACGCCCCCCCCCCCCCTGTGAAAATCAGCTTCTGTTGACAGGGTTAGCGTGGGTAAATAAAGTTTTCTATCTATCTATATCTTCTAGATGAAAATCAGAATCACTTATCTAAGTTATACAAGGCGGAAATCTTAGTTTAAGGATAAAGAGCAAAGCCCAGCAAATAACTTTAAATCCAAACATAATAAAAGTAAAAAATTTATTAGCTAACGCTTCGTTGTTTACAATACAACATCTTCAGAGCAATCTAAATGAATTTACAGGGTATGGTGACCCTCTAGTCGGGCTGAGTGAAAAAGCCATCAAATCGACTTCAAACTAAACTTTTTAGAGCTTTTTTTCGCTTTAAAGATGCAGTTCTAAACGAATATTCAAATTTTATAGTCAGCAAACTAATGATTTTGGACGCCATAGTAAACACCCCCTTGTGCACGTGTCATCGGCTTCCCCACCATGAGGACCCAAGGCAATAGTGCAGTGGTGTCAAGTAACGAAGTTACTGTACTTGAGTACTATTTTTGAGAAGTCAGCATGTAACAAAGTAAACTTTTTCTGAAGTACTTTTACTTGGAACGAAGTCGTTTTAAGAAGTAACGTTTTACTAACTTCGCTATTTTCATTTTATGGCTTAATTCACGTGATTTATTCGGAATAGCTACCATTAGATTTATTCGGAATAGCTAATGGGACCTTTAAATGCGTCTGGGATCTCTCGTTTGCGGCTTACTTGTAAGCATTATTTATTTAATAGATTTCTTATATCTTCAACGGGGTATGGAAAGTAGACCATGCTGTGAAATATTGTGATCAGGTGCACACATAATGCGTGTACTGTTTTGTGTCTTTTGTATGTCAATCCATTGGAGAAGTCCCCCCGATCCCCCTCTACACGCTACAGATTATAGTACTTTTACTTTTACTTTGTACTTCAAGTATTTCTTAAATCTTAAGGATACTTTGTACTTTTTACTTAAGTGCATTTTTGCCTCCAGCACTTTTTACTCTTACTAAAATCGTTTTATTGTTAATTACTTCTACTTTTACTCGAATACAAATTCAAAGTAATTTAGGCACCACTGCAATAGTGGGGCCTTTGCGAAAACGAATTTATAATTGCATGCTATTTCCCCACCCCACAGGCTACATTATTTTGCAAAGTCGCCACCCCCATGTCCTCACTGGTAATATTTGCATTTATAACATGTTTGCAAAACAACTAATAATTTAATTTTGAACAAACACTCTTAACAGAAAGATAAGTCCACGTCCCCCTTCCTATATTCCATCATTAAATCCAAACCAAACAATTTCCTCAAAATGTATACCTGTGGTCAGTATTGAAATCGATCTTCTACAGTAAATGTTTGGTTGACATTAAAAGCATGCATAAACACTAAATTTGAATATTAACGAAACAAAGTTTGAACAATCCTATTCACTACAAAAATGTTAGGCAGAATAATCAGATTTCCGCAGTCTCAACCCCTTACCTCACCTGACCTTTCTCAATAACGGGCTGTTCGAAGAACCACGTGGCTAAACTCGGCTTTCCATTGATTAGTATCGATAGTATTAGCAAGGGCAAGTCAAAACTTGTTTATAAAGTGGGAAATATTTTTTCAGCATTAGCATGAGTTAATGTAAACCCCAACCCCCCCTGGCCAGGGTGGGGATTAATAGGGAATTGGTAGGGGTTTAGTTCAGAAAACACTCCCAAGAGGGTGGGGGATTTGAAGCTCTTAGAATTTATTTAACCCCAGGGTATGGGGATTGGATAGGGATTAGTAATGAGCCAGTTGTCGATTTTTCAGCAGTTGTTCGTCTCAAGTGGCGTATCATCTAGCTCATATTAGCTTTGCTTTGTGTGCTTTTTGTACCAAACCTTTTTCAAATGCAATCCATAATAGTTCATTGCAATCCATACATAGTTATTTGAAATGTAAACTGTTTTAGCAGTGTTTAATTAAAAACTCTTAATTTATGGACGAAGGCCCCAGGTGCAGGGGACATTTTTTGACATCGGGAACCTTTTATAGTCCCCAGGATGTGGGGCATTTGCAAATATTAGAACAAAGTCAAATTCCAACCCTGGCCCCGGGGTGGGGGAAGTTGAGGTTTACATCATGACTCATGCATTAGACCTGCATTAATATCGGGAAACGCTGCCACACTCATCAACCAAAATATTTAAATATTGATAAAATTATATTGAAAGAGAAACTATGCAATATTTCAATATCATTAAATACTTGTGTCAATACATGTATTTTATATAAAATTTCCTTTTTATACACTATTTACAGTTAATACACTTGTCTGGTCATATATAAAATGAAAGTTCAAAACAATGGAAAACAATCACATGCTTATGAAGTCCCTGCATTTCCTCGAGGTGTAGGGCAATGGCGGCACGAAGCTCCCACATTCCGGGTAAAAATTACATTCAAAGTCATCAAATTGCCCCACCAATAACACACGCATTAACAAATATATAAAACATTCTAGGAATCTGACAGTTTAAATTTAGGATTTAAATTATTGTCCATCTAAAGTGTTTAAAAATAAATTTACCAAATGGGAAACTCGCTTTCTTACCTGTTGTTTCATAACCACAATGGGGACAAAATTTGCAATCTGGGAAAGGAAAAACGACCAAACATTGTTCACATCTCTGTTGCTCACATGCTGCCATATTTTTTGCAAGTTGCAACTGTCGACACCAATCAGGGTGGTCAGCGTTAACTTCCATCGAAGTCTGCGCGCGCATTGGTGTTTTATTTCTACGGAAGAGGTGCATATTTCTACGGAAGAGGTGTATATTTCTACGGAAGAGGTGCATATTTCTACGGAAGAGGTGCATATTTCCACGGAAAAGGTGTATATTTCTACGGAAGATGATCAAAATTATACAGAAGAGTTTAATTTCTAAGGAATACCTCTCCATTTGTACAGAACGAGTGTCATTTTCTACGGAAGAGTTGTGTCCCTAACGGGCCCCCGTATTTATCGCTTCTGCGGTAGAAAGCAATGCATAACCTAAACTTTAGCGGTAATTTATCAGCCTGATGAGCTCCGTTTTCTGTGCGAAGGACTGCATGCGAAAGATCAATAGCAGTACACCGTTCTGGATAAAATAATGGCAATGTGCAGGAGTACAATGCCGATTTAATGATTAACACAAAAATATCAAATTACAAATAAATGTTACAAATTTAGTATTCATGCATAGCACAGAAAGGGTGGGGTGTTAAAAAACGCCACGAACCGACTATAAGGAGGCACCCCACCCCATCAGGCAGAGAAATCGCCGCCACAGCCGATGGACTAAATTGATATAAATCGGGAAAGCAAGGCAAACGCAACTCATGATATAACAAATAATCAGCGAAGTCTCATAAGAATGTAACCTAAAATACGACTACTGAACGTATAAATTTAATAGTAGACGTATGGCACTGACAGTAAATTAGAACTCTGCTGCCTACCATGAACCTAGTCACTACATCAGCACACGGATGGGCAACAAAGTACCTTATAAAAACTACACAAGCTGAAACCTGATGAATCCTTAACAAAGCATCGCCAGCCTAGCTCCTGCATCAGTTAGACGAGTGCTATCCTGCGTTAAATGTGCTATTCATTAACTAGACATATATTTGTGGCCTACTACTAACCGTTTGCCTCACAATACAAGAATGCAGCCACAGTCAGTCGCAATTAAGACGAAGCCGAACTTAAGCTTGGTGTTGAGGAATGCATCGGATCGCCAGCGCCCCATAGCACGAATTTGGGCATCAAAAAAATCGCACTCTGCCGCAAAAGTGGCTGCGCCAATACGGAAACGGTGGCCTTTATACTTCATGGTATCAAGACCACAGCCGCGAAAAAGCATTGATAAAAACTTACGGGGAACGGCGAAACTGACGGTGGCTGCAAACTCGCTCGTAGCCGAGTAGAAGTTCTGCCAACTGTGTGGAAGAAGCTGGGCCGGAATCACCGAGTGATAAATATGCACGCCAGCCGGCGCCAGCTCGCGGAATTTCGAAACCTGTAAACGTGACAAAGCACCAGCCAAAGTATTTTTGGCACCTGGAACATGCTTAGCACGAAACAAAATGTTAAATTTCAAGCAAGCTAGAACCAGCCGACGGACAAATATCATTACAGTGGGATCTCGCGAAGTAGTCTTATTATGATCTCGACCAATGCTGCGTTGTTCGTGCAAAATAGTATGCGTTGTTTTGCATGAGATGACCCCATAAGTGGACACTGAGGACAATTGGAAAAAACTCCAAAACAACAATGTTGAGTTTTTTCCATTCCTCAGGTCAAGGCCCATAAAACCAAAAGTTGACAAATATAGCGCCAAAGCCATGACCCGCAGCGGCATCAGTATACAAATTCAATCGTCAGAACGAAAAACGACCGGCCATCGAAATCATCCAGAAAGGATTTACAAAGGCCTAAATCTGCTTTAACGGACCTTGTTAGACGAATACGATAAAGGGGGGCATTAACACCTTTCGTTAAATTAACGAGACGCCGCAGAAAGCCCGACCCGGTGGTAAGACAGTACGAGCGAAATTAAGCAGACCAATCAAAGATTGAACCTCTTTAAGGTTGCCTTTCGACGGCAAAGAAATTCGGAAAGAATACTGCGCGTTTTCAATATTTTGTCAGCTGGTAAACGAGCCTCCATTGCATTAGTGTCTAACTCGATGCCAGCAAAAGTCAAAATTGTGAAAGGGCCGATCGTTTTCTCAGGAGCGATTGGCACACCCAAATACTCGCACATGGACAAAAAAACCCTCAAGGCAGTGCAACATTGTTCGTAGGATGCGCCGGCCATTTGGTAGTCATCAAGGATATGAATAAGATGTGGAATGTTACACCGAGTTTTAGCAACCCACTCAAAAGCAGTGCGGCAGGAAGATGCACACCCCATGGGCATGGCTCTATAATAATAATACTTTCCCTGCCACATGATACCTAACAGAGGGTAATCTGCTGGACGAATGGGTATGATGCGAAAAGCACTCTTTATGTCCGTCTTAGCTAAAAAACAACCTCTACCTTTTTTTTTAAATTTTTATAATGGCAATTGCATCATCCACACGACTATAAGAAACAGTAGTGTGTTCAGGCGAAATGCCGTCATTGATGGACGCCCCTCGTGCAAAAGATAAGTGGTGAATAAGCCGAAACTCGCCTGTAATTTTCTAAGGTACAACCCCCAAAGGAGAAACACGGAAATTGAAAAAAGGGGGGGGGGGGGGGAGGTGAAAAAAGGGGGTTACAATGCGACCCGCCACAATTTCTTTCCCAAGTTTAGTACCGACAACTCCAGGATTTTGATTTGAACAAAAGTGGTGTGACCACACTCAAAGTGAAGAGGAAACCCATAGGTAAAACCCTCAAACAACATTAAAACAACTTTGATAACATATCCTTGTAACAAAGGCAAAAGGCGATCAATTTTTTATTGGGGTTGAAAGTGCGCGCACTTGCTGCTGGTTTTGTAATGATGGTTCTTCCTGAGTGACGAAAATTACAGCTTTTAGCAGAGTGCGCAGCTCCACACTTAAAACATGTATGCCTGTAAGAACAGCCTGTGCACTTAACCCCCTTATGGAATGCACGGTAGAAACCAATTGGGACAAATGGGCCCAACAGCGAGGTACGCCCAGAAGGCTGTGCAATATTTGACCGACCTGGAGCAACATGCGCAAAACTCTGTGCACGAACCCACAACTCAAAATGAGTTGCGCCCCAAGGGATTTCATGTGCTCTTGTTTGTTGTAGCGCCGGATCGAAACTGAGTGTCATAAAATCTCAAATTTGCTCCTCGTGCAGCCAAGTCTGGCACAACCTCCACATATTTCGTTAATTTGGGAGCTTCTTGAGAAAATTTACTGTTGTAAACCCCACCCAAAAAAAATCTGGAAGGCTGATGTCCATGCATCAATGCTGTATATGGGTTTAATCTTATAGGATGGCCGTCTAATGAAAGTGTTGGCACCGAACTCCCACTCTGTGCCAGTGAAAGCTGATATTTTCTTTCGCCCACATAGGGGTTCAATAGTGAACCAAACTCAATAAACTCATTCACCCAAATTTTAGCCTTTATTTTGGGACTGACCAGAACATCAATCTGGATGGTAATAGAATTAAACTGAACATGGGAGCCAAATGATGGTGGACGCACAACCAGATTATTCTCACCTGTGAGGTGTTCTAAGGCTGATGCCACTGGCCCCTGCACTTGCGCACCAGTCTCAGAGCGACCATTAAGGGGTACATCCCTGGTGTCAACAACCGCAGAAGGAGTTGGTGACTGTATGGCCGCAACGACTGCCTGGGCAACCACAGATGCAATCCTTGTTACGGATAGTCTAAAAGAAACTAGAACAAGCATCTGCAAACAACATATATATTCAAACACACACATCTAGGAGTAAGTAGTAATGTATCGGGAAATGACATGTAAACACAAGTGACAATAACAAATAATCTAATCATTAATGGACAACACAAGTTTTATTGAGCATGCCATACCACAAAGGTAGCCGATCACACAACTGGGCAAAAGCACTTAACAACATGATGGCAACCCACTGTACATTGAATCCAGCTATGGGCACCTGGAATAACAATCCTTTCCCATGTAGGCATACATTCAGCAGAAAAGCAATAGTGGCCAAAATTTATGCTAACAAGCACATAAATTCAAAGACAGAACATGACTGTAAAACCAATACAGAAATAACACAACATATAAATACCATAAAACAAACAACAAACTGGACAGATTTACCATCTATGCCAAGCCACTTGTTTCATGAATGGCTACCTCCCAGCTGAATATAATTGCTGAATGCTCAACAGGGGTCACAACAGCCATAACCATGTGTGCACACCCAAATATTAATAGATCCCTTGGGCCCAAGGTGATAAACCTGCCATCAAGGAAGGCTATCCAAAGATGGCAACTAACTTTATTGAACAAATCAGCCTACAACAATCAATATGTATAGCACAACAAGTCCACATATGGCCATAAAATCATCAAACATAATATTTATAAGTATTGGCCAAAAATTTCTTACCAAAATTAGGAAAACAATGCAAAAAACTTGTAGTTTGGAAAAGCTGGTGAATTCCTGTGCATGACACATTAACGTAAAAGCGAGAAAGCCTTCAAGATCGCCCCTCAATAGCTTTTATATAAGCTAAACTGTCCGTGGGGGTTAGCGTGCAACCCATCTAAGGACATCAAATTTTTGCCAGCTTCACAAAATGCACGATGTTCCCACAAGAAGACACAAGGCTTTTCTTGTCCAGTACCACAGATAAATACTGTCTCAAAAGTGCCACCTTAGTATTGTGAATGCGGTAAATAACGGTCAATCACCTGACACACAGCGACACAACGCTAACATGCAAATTATCCCGTAACAGTGCAACTAAATCCTCCGAAAGTGAGCCCACGTACCGCCTTCCTGTCCGAATGTTGACTCGCAAACGGCGAAGAAACGAATGGCCAAAAACTATAATCTGTGGTATTGAACCATTCATATTGAAATATACTATAAACAAGCGGTACGATACCTTTATGTAGAAAGGAAAACTTGTGAGGAGGACTTGAAAACTTGCCTTGTGAAGCCAAATGACCTTGAGCTGTTAACCCTCAACGTTTTATATAGTAGGCCCAAGATGCACGTGAAGCGTGACATGGAAATTCACTGATGTGTTGCAAAATTCCACGGGAAATAAAACTGGTTGAACGAGTTTCCCTGCCAGGTTCCCTCCATAACCCCATTCCGCGTGCTACCCCGAATCCCTAAATATCCCAACAAAATTCCCCCAGAAGCAATAAATTGATTATTCGTTGAAGCAAATAACTCCTATAAAATAGTCATATAATAGCAATAAAGGAATAGTAAAATAGTTATAAAATAGGAATAAAATGGTCAGAATGTAGCAATAAAATAGTTATAAAATAACAATAAAATACCTAAAAATAGTAGCAGTTGCAACATAGTTACTTTATAAAGTAATAAAATTGTAGTATGATAATTAAAAAAAGTTAAAAAAATAGTAATGAAATAATATAAAATTAGCTGAAAACTAGCAAATTATGCATTACCATGGTTGACAGGTATATTATCGTTTAAAATTGTATAAAATAATACACATAAAACAGTTTGTATTCTTATTAGCTGTCAATGCTAGGTTGTGCAGTTTAAGGGGGGCGGGGGTGAATGTGGCAGTTTAAGCAGTCTCAAATCAATGACATTGTTCACAGCCAGAGTTACCAAAGTTTGAGTAACAGCTGTAAGGAATCTATTGCACGATTGCATGGGTTTCAAATGAATTACAGTATGAGCAGTCTAGTCTATTGTCTATCTGTAGCTTGAGACGTCACAGTTAAATATCGCGTGCAGAACTTAAAGTAGGGATGTATGTCAACATGAAACATCATGAGTCTAGCTGGACACTTTACTTGGCAAATAAAATTGTCCAACATTAGGCAAGATACAGAAACATTTAACAAACTGCTGAAAATTGGGCATATCGGAGTGAAACAAACAACAAACATCAGTTCACCCTTGCCATGACTTGGCGGGGTGTCTCTATAAGAAATATAAAATGTAGCCCAAAGGTTGTTACATATATTATTAAGCAGATCATGCAGGTGGTATAGATAAATGACAATTGTATTCATATATTATAAACTTTGATGTAAGTGCTATAATGGTAAAGTGCATGTATGTGAGTGAAGTGGTATGTAAGTGCTATAATGGTAAAGTGCATGAGACATCCTTTTCTAGCTGATAATTTCAGAAAATATACAAGATAGATATAAGTATAATATAATATAACGACATGTCTTGCAAATATAACGACATATCTTGTGAAACAGTGCTGAAGGTGAATCATATTTGATTCAAAACATACAGTTTTTATAAATTGTGTGTTAATTATTATTATTTAATGCACTCCTTATTCAGAATAACTTTTATTCTATGACTATTGTAACTGAGACATGCACATTTAGATGGGGTATGCCTAGGTATTTATTAGCATATAAAGAATTGAGGATTGAAACTTGAGTAGATGCCAAGCTATAATATATTATTTAATTTTGATACAAGAAACACTGGAATCTGTCATATACACAACTATTAACTATTTGGCATTAGTTACAAACTTACAAAAAACATGATTTAATATAAAGACTGAGTCAAATGTAAGCCTTTGAATTAAACTAATGTTTTATATCATCGTTTTAAATCGTGTCGCGTCAAATTCAAATTCTAAGCCGAAACATCAACCGTGTGCATTCTCAAAATTCACGAATGAAGATAGAAAATATTTCCTTTCAAAATTGCTCCATTAAAATACATAAAAGATAACAAGATTCTTAGCTGGGTATTACTCAGTCATCCCTGATGTTTATTAAAGCTTCATCGGCTCGAAATATCGAGCGAAATATTCTAACTTATACTTCGAAATTGTCGCGGCAAATTCAAATTTTAAGCCGAAACATCAAACACATGCATTCTCAAAATTCACGAATGAAGATAGTAAATATTTTCTTTCAAAATTGCTCTATTATACATAAAACATAACAAGATTCTTACCTGGATATTACTCCGTCATCCCTGATGTTTCATCTTCGCTTATTAAAGCTTTAATAATCGGCTCGAAATATCGAGCGAAATATTGTAACTTCGAAATCACGAACCAGTCGCAAACATTGGACTATAAATAAACTGGTAGGCTAACTGCTATGATGAAGGCCTATGATTTGATAAAGCCAAAATAGTTTTTCTGAGTTATGAGCAGAAATACTTGATCCAAACGTCGGGCTATATATCAAATTGAAGCTATTGAAAATTGCTATTCGGTGTGGAAATTTCAAGACTTCAGCGAAATGAAAAATATTTAAAAAATACAAAAACAACTGCAAAACGGCAAATTATCGGTAATTATGTTTGCATGTAGTTTTTCAATATTTTCCTTTTAGCTAAAGTCTTGAAATTTCTACACCAAATAGCGTTTTTCAATAGCTTCAATTTGATATATAGCCCAACGTTCAGTGTTAAGTATTTCTGCTCATAACTTAGAAAAAACTAAAATGCACTGGCTTCAACCCCCCCCCCTGAGTTAGCCTTCCAATTTATTTATAGTTCAATGGTCACACACTGATTATAAAAAATATGGCGGTGTAAATTCAGTGCTTCCACTTCCCAAAAAAGAATTTCGTTCCCAACTGCTAAAAACTTCCTTATTTTTGACAATAATTTATCTTGACCATGAACGTTGCAATTATAAATTATAAATTAATTATAAAGAAACTTCAACAGGAGGCTTGAGGTCATCCCTCAGAAATTTTTCAGATTTTCCATTCCCCAGGAGTAGGATTTGGATTTTTGACATTTTTTGACGCGAGTTGCTATAATCTTAGGATTTATTAGAAATAACGTGATGTCCTTATTTATTTGCTGAAAACAAAATTCCTTGCCGTTTCCTGGCAAATTTTATTTCTTTTTGCAAAGAAATTTCCTTGCAAGTGGAAGCACTGCATGGAATTACCAGTGGAGCTGACGCTGTACGCAATAGTAGAAGCCTCCCCCTTTTCTCACCCACCGCCCCACTCCCCCCTCCATTACTAATTATTGGTCCCTTATCTGTGTAAATGTAAAACACGGTTCGATTTTATTTCATTTTGCTAAGTAGGAAAATTCAGAATGTTTTAAATTAAATAGACTATAGTCAATATTTTATACATATCTGCAAATTGTAATCCTGAATTCCTGTAAATGTAAAATAGGATTAAAATAGTGTATTTTATTATAATTTGCAAATTAGGGAAAGTAAATAGGTTTGAAATAGTATATTTTATCCCTATTTGAAAAATGTGGCATTTTTTTAAATGTGAAATAGGTTTAAAATAGTCTATTTTATTCTGTTTTGCGTATTCTAAAAAATAAATAGCTTTAAAATACTATATTTTATATTTATTTTAATTTATGTAATTTTCTGTACGTGCAAAATATGTTTACAATAGTCTATTTTATTGTTATTTTGCTAACTACTAAAGAAAGATGGGATTAAAATAGTATATTTTATTCCTGTTTGAAATTTGGGCATTTAACTTGCAATGTAAAATATGATTTAAACAGCTTATTTTATTTTATTAGTTTAAAAATAGTATATTTTATATCTATTTTAATTTCTAACTGCTCTTTAGTGAAGTAAAATAAAATTTAAATAGGCTATTTTAAACCTATTTTTTCCCCGAGGCTCTGGAAGATAGTATAAAAATATGCGATTTTATTTATATTATCTATAAAAATAGGAATAAAATAAAGTAAAACATTAATAAAACATGGCTCGTTCTTTTAGTGAAATATTATGATTGCATTAAAATAGGGTTGCCTCTCGTTAAAATAGCATAAAAATAGGGGTGATAGTAATAAAATAGTTTTAAAATAGCAATATAATATATTTATTTTCGCAAGGGATGTGCTATAAATCTTATACTGCAAATGACATTTAGCTTGCAAATGGCCCCAGTTCTCATGTATAAGGCGAAAACAATGCATATTTATTTGTTTTTCCCCGCAGTCTGACATGTTGTGAGATGAGCAATAAACCTACTCGACTCACAAACCGATCTTTTCTTAATACTTCCGTTCCAGGTTCGTCGCAATTTTGGCCTTTTGCATCATTCCAAGACTGACCGCATGTAACTTTTCGGGTACATTTCTTTGCGGATTTTTCACAAGGAAGAGAGTAATGATGATAATTATAGACGTGAATATAAATATGCTTATTAAGAACTATAGTAGCATACGTAACTGCATTGGTATATATAAAGTGTTAAAAATAACCCCCCCCCCCAGAATGAATGGATAGTATCTAAAACTACAAAAACTTTGCCCACATATGCCTTGATACTGGAATATATGTTATTGGGCGGTATAATTAAACTTAGAACTAAAATGTTTAATTACCAAATTCGAAACACCATTGATCGCCACCTAGACAATCTTTGCCAGAAACTATGGGACAGCTGCTGTAATTTCATATAATTTGAAAGGAATAGCGCCCCCCCCCCCCCGTTGCCCCTGTTCAATGTTGGGCCGACAAAAATGTGATGTCTGCTTGCGAGGCGCCAACATTGAAACAGGTGGGGGGAGGGAGGGTGGAAAAATGTATCAGCAAATGGTATATTACAATAGAATGCATGTGAATACTAGATTGTCCCAATCTATTTTGTCAATGATTGTAGATATTTCTCTGAAGGGAAGTTGTACTTTTGACCCAAATTGCCCCATTTTCATGTTACTTGTCCATATAGTGAGAAAGTCTTCACTTACCATAAGTTGATTAAAATTCTTAGCATGAGTATTATTCTTAACAAGTAACCAAGTTCTTGAAATTAGAATTTTAATTGTTATTTCAAGAAAATAATTACTAGTTTTAAGAATATTATTACTTAAATCTAGTAAGAAAACTCTTGTCCATATAGTGAGAAAGTTTTGCTTACCAATAATTGATTAAAATTCTCAATTACTAAGAAATAGATTTCTTAACAAGTAATCAAGTGCTTGAAACGAGAATGTTAATTCTTATTTCAAGAAAATAATTACTAGTTTTAAGGATTTATTATTTATTAAATCTAGCAAGAAAATACTTGTCCGTATAGTGAGAATGTTTTTACTTACCAAGAATTAAAATTCTTAGTAAGAATATTTTTCTTAACAAGGAATTTAGTTTTTGAAATGAGTGTTTCAATTCCTATTTCAAGAACTAGTTTTAAGCATGTTATTATACTTAAATCTAATAAAAAAAGCGAGAACAATTTACTTGTTTCAAGCTCTTTTCAAACTATACCTTGTTTCACTTGATCTCAAGGAAGTCCTGGTCAAGTACATATATTAACAAAGATTTCTGAAATTTTTCCATGCAGGACATTTAACCATGGACATGCATTAATTCAACACAATGCATGAAGGATTAGGCTAATACATTTATTTTATAGAAAACGAGACTTATTGATATAATGATTAACGGTATTGCCCGTTATGCTTATCAAAATTGAATACATAAACTGTCTACTAACGGAACAAACTAAGTCACTAAGTAAATCATTTTAATACGTTCGTATTATTTCTGTATTTTGTTTACATCATGTTCTCTGAGATTTATGAACAGGTTTTATTTGTCTGGCCAATCACATCACTTCATGTGACTGCTAATTATAACTAACCAATCATGTGCTTGGTACAAATTTTGTACCAAAGGAAGAGAGATTTGTATCGCGTGCCACCAGGGGTTCTCTTCTCCTCGCGTAAAATAAATACGAGCGAGAATAAGGCGAAAGATACAGAACCTCTGGCTACCAGGGTAGTAATCTGCTGGCAAAGATCAAATGGTTTAATGAATAATAAGCACATGATATGGAACCGATTTATAACCAAACATCAGATAATACAGTTGTTCGTTGTAGTGGTTCGTTTTAAATCGTTTCGTTTTTCAGTGGATGTAATTTCTTCCTGTTCTGGTAATGCTGGTTAAGCTATTGAATCTAAAATGCACACATAATTTTTCGCTTGTTTACTCGCAGTCGCCGAATGTTAATTGCCAAATGTGACTATCACACGATATTTACAAATAGAAAATATTCGATTCACTTACCAAGAACTAACAATTTATTTACATAGGCCTATCCCTGTTATACACTGTAAATTTCAGGGAGTAAAAATTGCCCCAAGATATGGGGTAATATGGTTGTCCAATGAACGCCCCGATTTTTTCGGGCGATTTTTACCCCTCTCAAAATGGGGTAATTTCTACCCCTTCCATGGGAGTAATTTTTACACCACTCTAATAAGGAGTGATTTTTACCCCATAGAAAAATAGAAGTAATTTTTATACCTCTGTTACGGGAGTAATTTTTACCTCATAGAAAAATAGGGGTAATTTTTACTACCCAAAACAACACTGCAAGGGAAGCAATAATATATTGGCAACTTAGCATGTGCAAATGATGCGCTTGCATTACTTACACGAATCGCCTTAGTTCAACATAATATACATATCACTCAAATAACAATCAATTTAATGCAATATTTGAGAAATTCATAAGTGAATTGATTATTACTTAAACTACATTTAATTAGCCTAGGCGAGAATTCGAGCAGTATATCATGACTGAGCAGTATATCCTGCGTATCGAGCAGTATATCATGAAAAAGGAGAATTATAATAATAATATTTTTTACCTTTAGGACTACAATGCAAGCTGCTTATTCCCAAAAGGTTTGTAAATCAACGTTATCTCCTTTTTTTATAACGTGTAATGTGTTGAAAACATATCAGGGCCTTTTTAAACAAATCGTCAGTTTGCGTGGGAGGGGGTTG